TGGCTGCTTTGTTGTCGCAATATAGTTTAATTGGTGTTTCCACTTGTAGATTCAGATCTTGTAATAGTCTAAGAATCCATGTGACCCCACATGTGGTTTTAGCCATGACTCTGTATTCTGCCTTTGCTAATGGGAGCGATACAGTAGATTGCTTCTTTGTTTTCCATGAGATAAGCGATTTTCCAAGTTTAACACAGAAACCAGTGAGGGATCTTTTTGTCATTGGACATGAACCCCAATCTAAGTCGCAGTACGCAGTGACGTTGAGGTCTCCTTTCCTTGGTAAAAGAAGTCCCAGCCCTGGACGACCCTTCAAATATTTTAGTACCTTCACTACTGCATCCATGTGGGATTGCTTTGGGGCATGCATGAATTGGCTGAGGATTTGAACTACATAGCTGATATTTGGTCAAGTCATGGTAAGATAAATGAGCCTTCCGACAAGTTGTTGGTAGTTGGAGCTATCTTCTAATAATGGATCAATATTAGGATTTTGGCTTTTCTCATCATATTCTTCTATGGTAAGCTTAACATTTTGCTCTACGAGAATGACGCTTGGTTTGCATGTGGCTAGCCCTGAATCTGTAATGAGTTCAATCACATATTTCCATTGGCTGAGGGATATTCCTTATGAAGAACGAGCAATTTCAATACCCAGAAAAAACTTTGGTGCCCCTAAATCTCTAATGTGGAATGTACTGTAAAGATACTCTTTAAATTCTGTGATTGCTTTCTCGTCGTTTCCTGTAATAAGGATGTCATCAACATAAACTATGAGACTGATAAAAGACTCACCCTTTTGTCTGGAGAATAGGGCATAATCATGCTTGGATTGAGTGAATCCAATGGTTGTGAGAGCTTCTGTAAACTTTGCATTCCACTGTCGTGATGCTTGCTTTAGCCCATATAAAGATTTTCGTAATCGACATACAAGATTCTTCCCTTGATTGCGAAGACCGGGAGGAATGTCTATATAAATCTCCTCATCAAGATCCCCATGGAGAAAGGCATTATGGACGTCCATCTGATGGAGTGGCCAATCATGGTGAGAAGCTACAGAAAGGAATGCACGGATAGTGACATGTTTCATTACAAGGGAGAAGGTTTCCTGATAGTCAAACCCTTCCCGTTGAGTGAAGCCTTTGGCAACAAGGCAAACTTTATACCTTTCGATGGAACCATCAGCATGATATTTGATTTTGTAAACCCACTAACAACCAATAGGGTTCTTGTGTGAGGGCCGAGAAACGAGGTCCTATGTGTGATTGCTAACTAGAGCATTTAATTCTGTCTCCATGGCCTGACGCCAATAATCATGTTGAACGGCATCAAAAAAGGTGATTGGTTCTCAATCGGCGGAAATATTGCTCATATAGAATCTGTGTCCAAGAGATAATCTTTCAAAACTGACATATTTAGATATGGGATAAGTAGTACCTTCCACAGTGGAACAAATGTAATCAGCCGTCCAGACAGGTGGACGTGTAGCTCTGGAAGACCGGCGTAAAGGAACAATAGCTAGTGAAGGAGTAGGAATATCCATATCTATAGGTGGGGAAGTATCCTGAGTGGGACCCAAAGAGGAAGGATCTATGGTGTGGGGAGATCCTGGAGGTGTATCGAAAACTGTGGAGTCAGGATATGAATCAAGATCAGACTCTAGTTGAGGAAGCAGAATGGGAACCACAGTGATGGGAGTATCTGGCTAATGATCCAATGAGGCAGAAGCTGATAGAGGGGATGCAATGGCACTTTCCGAGAAAGGAAAAAAACTCTCATGGAAGACAACATCTCTGCTTACAAAGAATTTGTTAAGTTGAGAATCATAAAGGTGATATCCTTTTTGGAGCATAGGATAGCCCATGTAAATACATTTCCTAGTATAAGGAGCAAACTTGTCACAAGAACCTACTATGGTGGAATAACATAACAACCAAAGACTCATAAGTGAGTGTTATCAGGTATCTTTCCAAACAGTAATTCAAAAGGAGTTTTACCTCCAATAACCCGTGAAGGCATGCGATTAATGAGATAGGTAGCCGTAATCACACATTCGCCCCAAAAGGTGGCAAGGATATGGCTTGGTGTTTGAGGGCTCGGGCTACTTCTAAGAGGTGACGGTGCTTTCGTTCAACAATCCCATTTTGTTGAGGAGTATAAGTACAGGAACTCTCGTGGAGAATCCCATGGGAAAAAAACAAGGAAGAACACTGCTAGTTAAAAAATTCTAAAGCATTGTCAGCCCTAACCCTTTGAACCCGTGTTTTGAATTGTGTTTGGACCATGGAGAGAAAGTTGAGGATATGAGAAAAAGCTTGAGCTTTGGATTGCATCAAGAACATCCAGGTTTCGCATGAAAAATCATCCACTAGATCCATCATGATTGGGAACAGAGTATGGGCCCTAGATATCAAGATGGATTAAGGCAAAAGGGTGGTTAGTGGAGGATGTGCTAATGGCAAAACTTGTTCTTTGTTGTTTAGCAATGGGAAAGTTGGACAATTAGAATGAGGTATAGATGCACTATGACCCATTTTTTGATGGAAAAGTAGAGATTTATTATTAAAATTGCCATTACAATAATAGTTTTTATTTCTAGGAAAAGAAAAAGGCTCCCAGTAGTAAAGACCTTGGTAGGCCTTACCCAAGCCCATTTGTTTGCTAGTCAAAGGGTCCTGAAAGGTACACACATCCGGAAGGAATTGCAATGTGCAATCATTATCAATGCAAAATTTGGATACATATATGAGATTAAAATTGAAAGCAAGGACATTTCTGAGAGTTATGTTTTCAGTAAGTTTAACTTCCCCTGTATGGGTTGCGTTGGCAATATTACCATTCGGCATTCGAACGGATAATTGTGTAATAGTGTTTATGTGTGATTGGAAATATTTAGGATCACAAATTATGTGATCACTAGCACCTGAGTCAATAATCCATAAATCACAGGAAATTAAATTCTGAGACAAAAAGATGTACCTACATAACTAGCGAAAGCTTTGTTTGTTGGGAGTTGATTCAGCATCTGGATGAGTTAAGTGATTTGTTCAGGCTTGATCAAGGATGATTAGGCCTCAGATCCTGATGTGGTAGTGACAGTAACACTATTTGCGATCGGATTGCCAATTTTATCCTTAGGGTAACCATGTAATTTCCAGCATCTGTCCCAATTGTGGTTCTACCTTTTGCAGTAGTCACAATACATTTTCTACTCGATCGGGATGATCCTGAACCAGTTGATCCACTCTGAGAGTTGATGAAATATGAGCATTAGATTAATTTCCCAAAGTTTGACCAAGTGTACTGTTGACTCCATTGACTTGGTTGACTGCTTGTGGGCCGTCAGATTGCTGGAGATGATCCTGGCCATTCATTGCTTTGTATAAAACATTACCCTTCTCTTTCTCATTTGGAAAACCTAGCTACAACCCTTCCCTTTTGGCTTCTCTGTCGGCGACGAAGGCCATGGAATCACCCAACCGTGTTGATTCCATGGAGACTAGGCGTTGACTCTCGTCCTGGATAGCAAGTTGGTATACACGACGGAGGGACATCGGTGATGTGGTGGCCAACATTTGGGTGCGAAAAGCCAGGAAATTATCGTTTAATCCAGGGAGAAAATGGATTAAACGATCTTGTTCTTTGATCTGCTAGAACTGCTATAGTGTTTCCGATGGTCACGAAGAGGATCGGTGACGGCATCAAGCTCATTCTACAAGGCCGAGAGTCGATTGTAATAGACCGTCACGATCTGATTCTATTGCTTGACGTCGATGAGACTCTGCCGTAAAGTGAAGAGTTTGTCCAGATCCAACTGGCCATACATCTCCTTGATAAATCGCCAGAGCTCCTCGGCAATTTCTATTGGAGGTAAACCAGCAGCAATCTCCTAGGTCAGGGAGTTGTCGATCCACGAACGGACTAGCATGTTACATCTAGTCCAAAGTTTGTGGAGATGGGGTTCTTTCGGTGGTATGACGGTGCCACCTATAAACCCGTCTCTGTCTTTGGCGATTAATGCCCGCCAGAAGTCGCGAGCCCAGGTCTCGTAGTTCTCTATGCCAGTGAGAACGTGTTTAACTAAAACAAGCTCTAGTCCATCAGATGGGGAGGAATAGAGGGGATCGTCCGGCTCCAATCGGCGAGGTTGGGGCTATAAGATCTAAAATTGGTAGGGAAATGGGTTCCGACCGATTTGACCCGAAAACCCGAAAGGAAAAGTGTTTGGGCCTGGAAAAGTATTTGGGTTGGGCCTGGTTTGGTTATCTTGATTAGGCTCAATATTTGGGTCTGTTTGTGTGTTTGGGTTGGCTTGGCTGTTTCGGTTTGGGTTTGGATCAGTTTGGTTGTTTGTTGGATCAAGCCCAATTGGGTTTGTTTGGTTTGGATCCATTTGGTTTTGAAGGACTAATCCTAGAATTTGTTTTGCAGGAAGAAAGGGACAGGAGTTGGATTATTGGCACTCAACAAGGAGAGTGGCTAGCAGGGCAACCTGCTCTGATACCATGTAAGAATCTGATATTAAAGTAGCATGAAAAGGCAACTGAATTACCAAAGAGTGCAAGAAGAAGAGAGGCAAGAGAACCAACTAAAGTTGTTGAGTATGCCGAGAGAGTATAAGCAAGGAAGAAAGAGAGAAGAATGATTTTTGTATATATATTTCATGTACAAGAGTTACAATTTATACAATTGCAAATGTAATATGTAAGGAAATAAAATAAAATAAATAAATGTAAATCAATACGTACAAGACAATAATATAATTCTACCTAAACTACCATATTTGGACAATATTACAGATCTTCCAAATATAGCTTATACAGTCATTCACATGTCAACAATTATCATGTCTTCCTCAACAAATTTGTTGCCATATTTAGATGCTGGGTTTTGTTGGCTGTTGACGAATGATGAACGAAGAACGAACACGAAAATGCGTCATATTTTGGCTTATTTAATCTGAGTTTTAGTTGATATTTGGCTTCTTTTTTTCTTTTTTCTTTTTTTTTTTTACATTTATAAAGAGTTATTTTATATTTTTTGGCAGAATTTTTATTTTTTAATTTAGAAATATTTAGTAATTTCTAAAAATAACTACCTCTCAAGAGCAAATGAAATTAACTATTTTTTAAAGGATAATATGTGAGAGAAACTTTTCGAAAAAATAAATAAAATTGGCCAAATATAAGTAGGATATGTTTGCAATTGTTTTGTTTGGAATAAGGGATGTAAATAATAGATTTTTGCATATGCTGTAATGAACTTTTCAAAGTAATCACATATCTACACGTACACAATTACATTTGCTTTTTTGTTTTAGTGGACGATCAATACAAATTATAAAAATTAACGACCTGAATTGATCTAACCAGCAGCAACAGAAGGCAGCAAAACTGCAAAAAAAAAAAAAAAAAAAACTGGGGTTAAATAATTTAAGAATGTAAGAGTTCCTTCTATTAGTTTTACTTTCTTATTTTACTTATGGAAGGTTATATTTCATCTAGCTTATATATACCATTTTCAAGGAGCGTTTGAAACGCTCGATAACATAATTATCTAATTCGTGACATAATGTCAAAAAGATCAAAACTGACACTCTACATCTTTATATAGTTAACAAAAATGTTTTTAAGCATGTCGGGCACCACGTTATCAATTAATATTACCTTTCAAATGTCTCAAACCTGATTAATTATGACATATAACAAAACAAAATTAGAGATAGTTTAATTTTTATATAGATTTTCATACAAAATTAGAATCACAACTATATTTGTTATCCTTGTAAAAAAATCCTTCCAAATGGTGATTATTTTTTTTCTTTTAAGTAATGTCATTGCTTGGATTACTTACAAACGTGGACCTCAAATTATTATTTATTTTCACTTGTTCAAAACCTAAGACACAAAGAAATTAGAATGAGAGTATGATTAATTACCATCGTTTCCACAAGTCATTACCCTTGCTTCTATTTTCGAAAGGGTGATGATGGTGGGGGCACCCAGCAGTATCAGCCTTGGTGATATAGCCAATTGGTGATGGTGCACTCAAATGCACATAACCCTCCGCCGCCTGCCGCGGTGGTGAATTAACAAGGCCTGGTGGAGAAAACCAATAAAAATATCCATTCATTAACACTCTTCACATAACATGTTGTCTCTAATGACAAGTTTATCCATCGAGTGCTAAATTAATCTGTTACACACCAAAATTCTAACTATAAATAGAGTTAATGGCAATTTATCCCCTAAAGTATTATTGAATAACAATTTACGTCTATTATCATAGTTATATTAAAATTTCCACCATGACTAGTATATTACACCATCATTTTCACTATAATTTACAGAAAAATTATAAATACTATAGTTAAATCATAAATGTGATTCCTGGATTGCTTAATTTAAAATTCCACAAAAATAATTAATTCTTATAACAAGGTTAAAACCATCACAACAGTTTCCTCAGTCAGAAATATTAACGCTGCTAAAATAAAAATCATATGAAAGTAGATAAAAGTTCCAAAAATCCGACCCTCTTAATCAAAATGAAAAACAACTTAAATAACAGGAAATGTAATGAACTTGATAAGATTATTCTATCTAGTTTATTTTTTGTGTTTGTTTTTGTTCTTTTAAACTTTGAGAACATGCAAGAAATTCAACCTAAGAAAACAAATTAATGGAAGTGGATCGCTTACCAGGAGCTTGTAGATGATCATAGTGCGCCATAATTAGGAATAAGGAAGATGTTATTAATTTTGCAGACTTCAATGTAGAAAGATTAATCGTGAATAGGTCATAGGTGTGATGAAGCAAGAAGGATATTTATAATATGAAAGCCGCGTTCTGACAGAAGTGATCCGCGGCACAACGCGTACAGGTAACTTCCGAGAAGCGAACCCAGAAATCTGTTGGCTGAAATGCTGGAATAATTACAAGTATTTGTGTCTCAAACCGGTTAGAAAAGTCTACTATGAACGTTTGATTTGCCAGAAGAATAATGTTAAGTTCTGCCGCAACATTTGATTTGTGATTTGATTATTTGATTATGACATTTAACTCTCGATCAATACCAACAACTAAATCAATGCTAATATCATTTGAAGGTGTTATGGAGGTTACACAATGATACCATGTAGCATGAAATTTATTTCTTGGGGCATATCATGGTTTTAACCCTGACCAAAGCAAGAACATCAAGAGCATTTTGTGAACCATAAAAGGCTCCCAGTGATAAAATATAACAAAAGCGTTACTAAGGAAATGCTAAAGCACATCTATTTTAATCAGAAAAATCATGATTTTAAATTTATGAACAAAAAATCTGGTACAAATACTACATATTTAAACAGGATCGATAATTTCAATATATAGCTTTCAAGTGCGCCTTACAATGTTAAATCTAGTCACCACTGGCACCAATGTACTTTTCTTGGGATATGAAGCTATTGTCGCAACTGGCAAACGTGAAATGAGGCGGCGCTGGAAGGCTGCTGCAAGATCAATGCCTAGGAGGAACTAAATACGGGAGCAGCTCACAGAAAAGGGCAATTGCAGTTTCTCTGTCACAGAGCGTTACATGTCTCGAACAGAAGTCTGATGCAGACGAAACTGTTTAAGAAAAACAAATCAGACCATGCGGACTGATCAGAAAAAATAGCAAGAAAAGTAAGTTCATACATATCAGGAAGAAAGCAGCTGACAGAAACCATCACACTGCAGCCTCGTTAAGAATTTAAGGTGTTTCTAATCAATCCTAAAGTTAATTCACATCAAAGAGAACTGCATATCATAAGCTACATTTCTTATTATTTATTGGATGCTGTAAGAGAATCTATGTAACAGGTTTAGCTTTACTGATAATACCCAGCAAGGAAATGTATGCTTGCATAATCTTTAATCACCATAAGATCCACAATATAAGTGCCACAGAACTGGAACAATTTTCTGTTTCACCTCAAATTTGATTTGGTTCAGTTAGCAACTTTTATCTTAAAAGTCGAACAACATTGTTTCTCTTTCTCATTAATTCACAAATGATACACAAGAAGATTTTCAATCAATATGCAGTCTTAATCTGATCCTGTGTGTTGATCTACAATGAACAAGAAGCCCTAAAACAAAATACCACACCAGAGGATTCACCCCAAGTCTTCCCTCTCTTTGTTACTTAGGTTTCTCTCTCTCTTTCTCATGCTCTTTTCTTTCTTGTTCATTCCCACTGCTTCCCACTCTTCTCTCTTCTTTCTGTAGGCTCGGTGGCTTTCTACTCCTTTTTCCTTTTTCATCCCCCCTCTCTCTTTCAAGCAAGCAAACTCCATCACAACCACAAGGCTGCTCTCACCTTTTCTATATTAATTTTCCTTCTTCTGTATATGGCTAAAAGGTTATCAACCTTGTCCCTGAAGACATTCCTGTTGGAGACTAGAAAATCCAGCTTCACATATATGAACCACTCACTACCATAATAAAATGAAATGGCTTCGTTAAAATTACACTAAATATAATTTCTTCTCTGGTAAAATTCATATATAAATCATTAAGGAGTATTACAATCCTATCCCCTTAAGAAATTTCATCCTCAAAATTTAAAGAGTTTATGGTCCCTTAATCCTGAAACAAGGTCTTCCTCCCTGTCTATAAAAATTCCAAAAAATATCTCCCCTGTTATTCAGATATTTTCCAAATTCACACTTGCATCAAATTATACATCTCAAGGTTTTCCATTATAACATATCTTACAAACTCATATCATAAATCAATCATATTACAACAGAAAATACTATATAATATGTTATGCTCAACACCAAAGCTGGTCGCTTAGTTAAAAGCCTCACTAGCAAGAAAATATTACTCTTTCCCATCCAACCCACTCCAAGACTCTAAAATAAATTCACAAATTGAAGGCTATATCGTATTTAAGTTCTCTTTCAGGGAATAATGAAGAGAATTTTAAATCTAATTTTATATAATTTCAGGTGCTTCCTTCATATAATAATTATATTCTAACTGCGGAAGCACCAGTCAACACTAATGGCTCACAGTAAGATTGCATAACTCCACATTCTTCCCCAATTTCTCCCCCGAGATTAAGAATTTAACTCTATTAAAACTTATGGTTCTAATGAGTTAACTTACTAGGGAAAAGTTAATTTTGGTCTTTTAAAAATCAATTAGACTTTCTCCATGTCTACACTCATGTAGACACAATATATAAATATCAGTATGTGCATAAATCAAAACTCTGGTGTCTATTATAGAAAGATAATAAGAACGTAAATAAAATTTAATATCAACAAATTTCCAATCAACTGAGCAAAAACATAAGCATTCAATTGAATAAATCAACTATTCTTTCACAAAATCTTACAATCATCATTGTCATTCTTGTTATCTAGCGTTGAATATTAAGCAGCGCTTTTGCCTCATTCTGCTCTTGCACCAAGTCTTCGGTTGCATACTTCTTCAACAACTCCATCTTCTTCCTCTCAACCACCATCTTCTCAATCTCCTTCTCATCAGGCAATGGCACATGCACCACAAACTCCCTCTCCTTCTCAATTTTTTCCCTTTCAATCTCCCTCCTCTCCTCCTCCACCACATCCTCTTCCTCCTCAAACAATAGATCCTTCAAAACCCCAACACTCACCACTTCCCCACTCTTCACTGCCTTCTTTGCCTCCCTCCTTATCTCCTCCATCCTTCGCCACTCCTCCTCCACCTCCGCCCTCATTTTCACCTCCGCAGGCGCCTCCACTCTCTCCAAAACCCCATCCTCATCATCTCTATACCCATAGTAACTCGCATCAATCCTCTTATAAATATCATATCGAGTTCTTCTCTTCCTCAACTCAGGCGGCTTCTCAAACAACTCCCTGACACCCGGCAACTTCTTCGCCGCCCCAAAGTACCGATACCCGGGCCCACGCCCGCTAGGGTTTGGAACATCAACAATATTTCCGTCTAAATCCGTCATTTTCGCGGAATGTTTAGTGTAATTAGGCCCACCAAGTTCGACAATTCGCCGCTCCCAGTGCGATTTCTCGCGAATAAGTTTGTTGATCTCGTCGTTGAGGTCGCGGAGCCGGTGCTCTCCGAGGCCTTCGTTTTGAATCTCGGCGACTTTGCGGCCGATTTCTCGCATGATTTGCTGGCGCCATTTGTCGGCCTCGGCGAGATCACGGCACTCCGAGGCCAAATAAGGACGTCGTTCTTTTGGTTTCTTCTTTTCTTCGGCTTTTAACGTGATGAATCGATTGAGCATGGACTGAGCTTTCTCTTCGTTTCGAGCCATGGTTTGGTTTCAAAATTCGAACCCTAATTTGAAAAGAGAGGGTTTTCGAGGGGAAATAGGGTTTTGTTAACAGTTAGTTTCTACTGGATTGGTTTAGCAGCTTTAGCTCCCGTTGTGTTTAGTCACCACGAAAATCGAAATCACAGTTTTTAAATGTAGGCTTCCAATTAGGCACTCATAGAGTCCTAGTCGGTCTTCTATCCTGTATCCGACCTGAATAGACAATAATTCCCAAAAACTTGTAAAAGTACCCAAAGTTTGACTTGAAATGACGAAAATACCCATTATCTATTTCATGTGGGTAACCTTTAGTTACATAATCCATAATAGATAATTCATACTTCTCTCAAGCTCATCTTGTTTGTAATAATTTTTTATTGTGGTGTATATTCACATATCAATTCGTACGTATACCATGAAAAATAAAAACATATTCGTTAACATGTCTGATTTCTCATTTTCTTTTTATTGCCTTAGACTCAAAAACATTTTAAAAAAACAATGGAAAAGAGAGTAAACCGAAAAGAAAGGCAAAACATTCTATATTTGTTTTATTATATTTTGATAATTAGTTAATTACTAACAAAGTTAAAAAAAATCTCATTTTTCTCTCTTTTTATTCCTTGAAATTCCATCTCATTTTTTTTACAACTTGATTTAATCATTTAATTAACTTATAATTTATTTACAAATATGGATTTAGATAATACATTGAACGTTTTTATTTTTATATTTAAATCATTTTCAAAAAAAAGAAACGAAAGCACAAAATTATTCCCTAAATTATCTTAAAAAAGTGAATGTAATTTTGTTGTTAGAGGAGAACTATGTAACATAGATAAATAAAACAAATTTATCTTTCTAAAAGGGTGTTTTTGTCCGTCAACCTTTTTGGCTAGTTTTGTATATAATTAAAAGTGTTTTAGAAAAACAATTAAAATATTAGCAATTCATTCTCTGCTAGTATAAACTCATAACACGCGGTACAAACCATTCACGAGACAAAACCAAATTTAACTTCCCACCAGCCGGCCGCCGTAGATTACCGCCACGGCCGATTTACATTCACCACCGGAGACACTTTCGTTGACTGACGGCTGCCAAACATTACCACCACACTGCCTTCACGATGACATCGGAAGTTGCCACTGGTTTTACGATGTGAGTTCATAAACCTCCTTTCATTTTCTTTATGTGTGTGAATTTGAAAGTGGTCGATGCAAAATGAAACAAAAAAAAAAAAAATTAATATGTTAATCAGTAAACTCCTTCTTCCTATGCGCTGCTTTCAAAGGTCCAAAAACCTTTCTTTTTCTGAAAAAAAGAATTGAAGGTCCAAATACCATCTCGTTTGTCGGCTTGAACTTCTTGCCGCGTAGCTACTGAGCTCCAAGTCAAGCAGGCTATAGGTCGTCAGTCTAACAGAGCAGAAGTGAACAGATATATATTTTACTTTGCTGTCCGAACTTATGAAATCATGCTGAGCTGTGTTGTTCTGCTGTAGTCATCCACTTCAGGAAGAAGACTCAAGTTATTCACTATTTTATTGCCCTAAATCAATGCACAATATTCTAAATAGACTTAATAAAAATTTAATAGCGACATTAAAGCTCCTATGCTGGGGATGTTCTACTATAATTCTTGAGAACTAAGACAGTCTTTGTGTTTCTATTTTATGGCCATTTTTTGATTTTTTTAAAGAAAAGAGTGGAGGATGCTTTATCATTAATTGTTAAAACTAAATTTAGGCATATCTTTTGTGTTTTAAAAAATAAAAAATTAATAAAAAAACATTTTTTTATTTATTCTTCATAGGTGGGAGTCAGTTATGAATCGATTAAGGGTGTTAGTATTGTTTTACCCCATAAGTTGATATTTACTGAGCAACCCAACTGTTATCAAAGCACATTAACACAACACATGAAAAAATAATAATAAAGAAAAAAAGAAAAAGAGAGTGGTTGTCACTGTGATATACAGGGGAGTAAGTTACTGTGTTTACATTTTGGAAGGAAAAAGGAAATAAGGTATAAGTTCTTTGGTCCGTGTAAATTTTGAACTGGGTGGATAGGGCTATAATTAAATTTGGAAATAAGAATAAGAGAGAAGTGAAAGGTTTTTATTTTATTGGGTTTATTTATTGGAAGAGCATTTAGGTTTAAGTTGAATTATTGTAGAAAAAGGATCAAGAGAAGTAGCATTGTTGAAGTAAAAAGAAAAATTTAAACGTACTTAGGATTGTTGTGCAAGGGAAGTAGCATTGGTGTCACACCTAATTTCTTTCTTCTTTTTTTTTTTTTTTTTGTTTTTAACACTTTATTAAATTGTTAATAGAAGTTGAATTCTTTTGTTTTTCTGATACTAGGGAAAAGTTCCAATTGCAGTTCAATGAAGGGGATAGATCAAGACTAATTGTGTATGACTGGTAAACAGATCAAAATTAATTATATATAAGTGTGTGGAACTCTCTGCCTAAACAGGGTGAAGAGGAGTTCTGAAAAACACTCCCTTTCTGGCAGAGCTGTGGAACACTATCAATTTTTTGTTGACACTTTCTTCTCTGCTTTTTATTTATTTTACATCCTCGCAACTTACTTGACCGTTTCTTTGCTGATTTACAACTTTTAATGTTACAGAAACATGAATCTCTCTCTTTTTTGCTTTATGGTAGTGTTGGAGCTATTGAGCTGATGAGACTGGTTAGAATAGAATGTTGGGAAGGGAAAATGATGAAGTCTATGTAATGCTACAACTTTTGCCCACTAATTGTTCAACGATTTGTCTTAGTGAATAATCGTTATAGTTCCTTCATAATGTACAGAAGATCTGGTTTCTCTTTCTCCTACCCACCTCTGGACTCTTATGCATTGTCATCTCCAATCCTGTTTCAAAAATCTGGTTCTATGTGGGTTCCAAAGAAGCAAAAATCAAGTGGCGGATGGAGACCTAAGAAGAAAATATACCACAGAGACCATGAACTAGACAGAGCAATTGACTTACAAAAGAAGCCATCATTAATATTAGAACTTAAGTCCATCATCCAATCTCAAAAGCATCAATCTCTCCTTCTCCGTGACCTCGAAAAAGAAGTTGGGTTTGTTCAGAAATGGAACTTCATGTCTGTCATTGAGAAGTACCCTACAGTATTCCATGTTGGTGGTGGCAGTGATAGAAACCCTCCTTTTGTTACTCTTACTGAAAAGGCTAAAAAGATTTCCAATGAAGAGGCAGACACAAGAGTGTTAATGGAACCCATTTTGGTTAAGAATCTAAGGAAGTTGCTAATGATGTCAGTTGACTGTAGGATACCCCTAGAAAAGATTGAATCCATAGAATCTGAATTGGGGTTGCCTCAAGACTTTAAGAAGACATTGATTCCAAAGTACCCAGAGTTATTTTCGGTGAAAGATTTCAACGGCAAAGTTTATCTTCATTTGGAAAATTGGGACTCTTCATTGGCATTTACTGCACGTGAGGAAAGATTAGTATGTGAAGGGGTTTTGAACTCCAGTGCGGCTCAAAAGAAGGTTAGGATCACAAAAGATGGTAACTATACAGGTCCCTTTGCTTTCAAGATATGTTTTCCTGCTGGTTTTAGACCAAACATGAGATACCTCGAGGAACTACAGAGGTGGCAGAGAATGGAATTCCCCTCTCCATACTTGAATGCAAGGAGATATGAGTTAGAAGATCCAAAAGCTCGAAAAAGAGTGGTGGCCGTGCTTCATGAACTCCTCAGTTTAACTATGGAAAAGAGAATGACATCTGCCCAATTGGATGCATTTCATTCAGAGTATCTGTTACCTCATAGATTACTTCTTTGTTTGATTAAGTATCATGGTATATTTTACATTACCAATAAAGGTGCTAGAAGTACTGTGTTCCTTAAAGAAGCTTATGATGGTTCAAATTTGATAGATAAATGTCCTTTGTTGTTACATAATGATAGATTTATTGCACTTACTGGTAGGAGAGAAATAAATTCTTGTACTGTGAAACCTTCATCACAGATTGTTACCTGAAACTTTTTGTTTGGTTTGTTGTTATATACCAGTTTAGCAAATAGATTGGGTCATTTAACAGTTATTCAATGGATTTCATAACTTTCATTATGAAAAAAACTAGTTTCAGGAAAGTGACAAAATGTTGAGTAATGCAGGTGTTGGGAATGATAAACCCCTTGTTGGATGGATTCAACATGATGAAAATGGTTTTTCAGATCCTTTATATCATTCATGTTCTTGAGACTACATTTTGGTATCTTAATAATAATAAATTAGGGATGACCATTTGCCTTGCACTAGTTCTTGTTGCTAGAAGTGTTGCACAACCTTCTCGTTCTCAAGACTATCTTTTGGCATGTTAATGGGGCTAGTGATGATCTTGATCTTCCGTCTAGCACTAGTTTCTGTTGCTAGAAGTCTTGTTCAATTTCTCCTTCTCAACACCATCTTTTGGCATATTAATAGAATGATGCATAAGAAGATTTTTGTGCAAATTTTGATTAGGGGTTTTTTATTATTAGCATTGAAGATGTTTAAATAGGAGATAACGTTTCTCATTTTGTATAGTTTTACGAACCTCTGGGTTTCAGGGACGACTTGTCCATTCTTGTATCCTTTTTATTCTAATATAGTATCTTTGTAAAACGAAAGGGTTGTGATCATCTTCATCTCGCACTAGTTCTTATTGCTAGAAGTCTCATACGACTCATGAAAGATCTTCAATCTTGTGTCTTACTCTTATCTCTGTCTCTTTACCTTGAAACTCTATTCCCAATCTATGTCAGTAAATCTCAAGTTAAAGCTTCAATCAAATCTTTGTACTATATCTTTTATCCGAGACCTTCTTCTATTAGTGCCTTAATCAAAATCCTGCAACATGTAAGTTGGTCATTACCCTTTTGTGCGTTATATATTGCTGAAGTTATAGTAAAATATGTTCTTTTTACCCATTTAACCATATTCTTGAACCACAAATTTTCCATTGTCATTCAAAGTATAAGAGCTAGGTTTCAGGACTCTTTTAATACTGAATCAGAAGTCCAATATTTCAACGTAAGTGTTTTGATATTGAGACAGTAACGTAATAAATAACCAAGTTTATCTTAATATTTATAAAAATATTAGAAAATGGTTCATTCTCATCTCATCTCATGATTTAAACACATTCATGATTAATATTATGATGAGGTTTCTTAGACATAATGAATACAAGTTAGAAGCAAATATTTTGTTCATTTCGTGTCTCAGTTGAATTGTCAAATTTGTTTGGCTCTAGTAGTTTTCTTTGGACATTCTAAGTAGTATAATCTTCATAACTATTTTCTAGAAAGTTGCAAATCAAGTTGAAAAGATTGACAATGTGGTTGTTTTCTTGAGCCTGAAATAAGGGCATGTGTGGAGTAGTTTACCACAAATTTGATAAACATTTTGAATTTGTTAGCCATGGAGAAGAGACATCTACCCAATTGGATGCATTTCATTCAGAGTATCTGTTACTATATAGATTACTTCTTTGTTTGTTGTTACATAATGATAGATTTGATTGTTCAAGTTTGATAGATAAATGTCCTTTGTTGCACCTACTGGTAGGAGATAGATAAAATTTGTTGTTACATAATGATACTAGTCTTTTACAACATTCCTGATCTTAGCAGTTTTTTTTTTTTGCATGTTGATAGGGTTACTGATGATCTTCCGTCTTGCACTAGTTCTTGTCACTAGAAATAAATCTTGTACACCTTCTCATCATCTTATAATTAAAGAGAGAGTATCAAATCAACTGTCCCATGAGTCAAAATTCTAACATTATTGTTTTATGGTATGGCGTGGTATCAAGTTTATCTATTAATCCTCATCTAATGATTTAAATATGGAATGGTATTGGACGACGGAACCATCTATCAAGAAACAGATAAATTGGCACTTGGCATGGCTTCTAAAGACATAATGAATACATTGTTGAAGCTTATAGTTTGTTCATTTTGTCTCTATGTAGAATTGTCAAATGTGTCGGCATAGAAAGGATTTGACCATGTGTGGAGTAGATTATCACACCTTTGTTAAAATATGTGGGCTCATCCCAGTCTCAATCAGACAGGCTTGATTAAAATTTGGGCTGGGCTTACTGGATCAGAGAGGTAAGGATGAACATTGTATCAATTATTTATTTGAAATTCTTATCTAACAATAATTTTCAATGCTCATAAAAAATTCTAACATGTATCGTCATCGTCTTAACAAAACTGTTATTTAGTGGGAAAAGAATATGTACAAAACAGATGTGCATGCATCCGATCAATGTGGGATCGATTGTTACTTCAATCACACAAACTTCTCAATCCGTCACATCACATCCATTCTAATTGACTGAATGCTTATATGAAAGAGTTTGTTTCTTATAATTTAGATATGAAATTAATGGTTAATAAAGAGGGGGGGATAGGGCTAGCATACCTAACCCAATAATAAGTTAAAGAGAGGGTCCAATTCCATATGATGGGGACATGCCTAGGCTGTGCCATCACTTTCAATAATTCTATTATTTGTACATTGAAACAGCAAGGCCAAGGCCAAGAAGGCCAATAGTGGTTGTTTCTTTTTTCTTTTCTTTTTTAATTTTAATTAAATTTTACAGTTAATTATGGGTCCCTATCTCTTTATTAACTCACTTATGTCTTCTTGTTTCGTATTTCCGTTTTGTTTTCATCACAAATAGTGTACTTGATATGAACCTCTCAAATGAATGAAATGGACCCATAAGATAGAGAGACAGATCACCGTTTAACATCATCATTAATGTTCTTCAATAATTAAAATTAAGTCATTGTTGATAGTATGCGGCTTTCACGGTGATTAAGTATCAGTTTCTAAAGTTTTTTTTCTTTGCAACAAAGTGTTCAGGCCAGCTTACGATTTCTAAAGTCTCTCATAGTGTAATTGATGTTAACAGTAAAATGTAAAAATAATTAAATGGTTAGTTGAAAAAGCAAAAATATTCCACAAAGTGTTGAAAAGGGGAGGGAGAAGAAATGGAGCATTCACATTGTCAAATTAGTAACAAGTAAGAACCATCCATCCAACATGTAATTGATTGATTGAAATAGATTATTATTATGATTAAAACTACAACAAACAAAACAAATGATGTTTGAATTTGATCCCCCCACTAATTAATTAATTGTGATTGATTAGACAAAGTAATAGTAGTGGGTTTATTTAAAGTAGAAATAATTAGTCAAAAAGTTGAACACGGCATCACACACGCAGCCTTCAAAAATCTGTCCAAATAGACCCAAGTTTGGTGCACCTGAGAAAAGCAAAAGCTTTTTGTCTAATTGCATTTAAGCAATTATTTTTATTATAAGTTAGGGTCATAGTCACAACTCACAACTAAGGTTTTATTCCCAGGGACAAAATTTTTAAGGTCCATTATTGGTGGGCCAAATTTGCCCTTACATTTGTGCAATAAATTGTTGTCCACTGCACACCAAATGTTTCATCCGTTGATTTGGTCCACTTTTGATTGTCCATTCTTTGTATTGTCACCTTTAACTTCACACTCATGTCTCTTTCACTATTGGAATTTACAACTTTTTGAAAAGGGTATTGGAGAATTTCAAGATATAAAAAAAAAGGGTGAATTTGAGACCAAATGCCGCATTAAAATATCTAGAGACTTTGGTCTTATTCGTGTAACTTATTAATGGTTGCACGTATCGAAGCTGTTAAACTTTAGGATCATCTGAATTTGATATGTTTTATATATGCTATGAACATAGGATAGGTTTTAAGCCTTTTTACTTTTATATATGTATTACTAGTGTTTTATTCTTGATAGAGATGATGAGAATGGACTTTAAATATATGAAACTATAGTTAGTGCTATCCAATTATTTCAATCTATCTTTCTATCCACAAAGAGAATCCATAATATTTATTTTGGTAACATATCATGTGTACCCACTTACCTCAACCAAACAAGACGAATGATTTGAGTGGTTAGCTTTTGCTTCAATGGGTGCCAAAAGTGGACAAAGAATGAGAAACACTATTTAAAAACACTTTAATACAAAGTGGGCACAATGATTTTACCTAAGATGGAGGGATTGGGTTTGCAACCACAAACCCCAAGATCCCATTATGGGATGAGCAAGATTTGATGGTCTTGGCAATAGTTAGTGGGAGAGGTTGATGTTTACACTTATGTACTCAAAACCTAGAAATAAATTAAAAAAAGGAAAGATTGCAAATAGTTTTTGCTTATTTAACTCTTTTTGTGTTTCTTTATTCCTAAACTCTTTTCAATGTTCCATTTCATAGTGGGGTTTTCTAGATTCAAATGAGCAATAACTTATGTCTTTATCTTTAGCCTTACTCCACCAAAACCAAATCTATGGCCTTGTAAAGAAGACTCATGGCACCTCATTGAAATTCCCACATAAAAGCAAAAAAAAAATAATTATTATTCATTGTTTAAGTAAGATATGATTTCTAGGTGAATGGTTTATACCATCTTTTTTTTTTTTTTTCTTTTTCTTTTTCTTTTGGGGGTTTGTGGATTCTTATCTTGACCCCACCATACCTTTCTAAAAGAAAATTATATTACCCATTATGCTTGCATAGTACAATGAGAATGTGCATAGTTTATAAGAGAAGCATCATCCCATCCACATCATCAAAGCTAAAATTAGGTTTCTATACACCCAAAAACATTGCTTCATCCTCAAAACAAGTGCCCAATTTTGTACATTTTATTTTTATTTTCTAAAAACATCTATCTAACTAGCTGTTTTCTCTTGTTTTTTAGTAACATATACTTTTTCATGTATAAATTATTGAAGAACTCAAATTTGGTACAGATTATGGTTTTGAGTTAGTCACAATCTTCCCATAGATTTCAAGTTCTTTAAATATTGACAGGAAACAGTAGTGATTCACACAAATTGAATGGTAGAATGGGTCCTATCACTTTCTAATTTGACCTATTATTGTGTAGTGTCATAAATTTTGTCAAGAAGAGTTATGATGTTGGTATGTGGGTCTAAAATAAAAATAAATTTGTTAAAGAGGAAAGAAAACAAAAATCAATTGTTAGATAATGGATTTGTACATGAGTGCTCCCTTTCACAAGAGAAGAAATTAGGGTTCCCATCATGGCCCCCAATGCTTTGAATCCATTTATATTCTATGCTCTGTACTGTCCCATTTTTATTTTACTTTAACTTTTGCAGCCCCACTTAACTCAACTCAATTTTGGAATGTGAATACGAAATATACATTGATTTATGTCAACAATCAAACAATCTTGTGTCACATTTCCCATCTCTCTCTTTTTCTTTACCCACCACCAAGCCTCAACTCAACACCTTTAATCAAAAGATAAATCTATAATTTTTAGCCTTATTTTGCATAAGAGATCTCTTACTTAGAATATAGGAAGGTAGATATCTCCCATCACCCCACTTATCAAATTCAACTCCTTTTTTAAATCTTGATTACCAGTTGTTTTCTGTACCCATACCACCTTACAAAACTCACAAACCACATTTGTTCACTATAGTGTGTGTGGTGAAAATACGCAAACAATTTGTTTCAATATATTGTTTTTCGATACATCAGTAAAATACTCACAAATTGGATTTCTTTCGTTATAATATATATATATAGCCCCAAAAACAGACTTATTATTTATGTACAATGTTACAGATTAATATTATTTTTAGAATTTCCATGATAATCGGAATTTGGTCAATGTGTTCGAGTGTCATTGTCTTCATGGTATTTGCTAGGTGCTTATTAGTGTATATATGACAATGATTCAAGCATGATATCTATATATTTGAGAGAAAGGAAGAATAAATTTTAATAAAAATAGATGACCCCATGAGCACTGAAGTGGATGATGATCCTATAGAAAGAAGACCAAAGTATGAAATTATGTGTTTAAGTGTTGGTAAAAGGCAAGGGTTTTGAAAATTTTAATGTTGGATTCCAATGGGCAATGCACCACTCAACTAAACACTCATGATACGTGCCCATTTACTTACAACTTAATTAATTAATTCCCCATTTGACAATCCCATATAATCTCTAAACACAAATAACTATTTTTTCAATTAAAATACGAAGATTACGATACGTATACTAAATACGTACCTTTTGGGACCCATTAACATAATAATGCACTTACCCATCTTTGATGCTCTATTGGTGTAATCCCAACCGACCCTTCATTTTTATTTGATGTAATACTATAACAAATTATATACTATATTGATAATGAAATTAGAGGTTTATTCAAGGAGGCTTTTCCTTAAATTATTAAAAAGAAAAAGAAGAATAGAATTGCATGCCAAGTTAGCCATCGGTTAACGCAATGTGTTTTTGAATCGTTTATTATTTTTGTTTAATTAAGCGCAAATTAAGCTAATCCTTCACCAACCCAAATCACTAATTTTAATGATAATGTTGATTGGACTTTGAAAACACCTCTAAATCTTATCCATTTTATAATTTAGGTCATGTTCAATATACATATATATAATATATATATATATATATACAATAAAATATGATTTAGAATGTAAAATATTTTTTTTTATTAAGAATGTGACATTTCGTAAAACAATTGTTTTCAAATTGTCATTTTATGATATTAGGACGGAGACGAAGACAGAGAGTTGAAACTAATGTATATATTTTAGATCTTTATATAAATTGTTCTTCTTAATTGATGACAAAGAAGGACTCGATTCATCCAATATGATAGAAATTTCAAATTTTCCCGTCTTTTAAAAAATTCATTGTTTAAGCCACCTTCTCAAACTTAAAAAAGGGCATGTATAAACATGGAAAATATGTGACATTTTGTTTATTTTTTGGGGATAACCTAATTGATTGATTGCACCAAAGTAGTCTAACATTTATGGTTAATACAGATGAAATAGAATGGAAAATTATTGAATTGGTGAATTGATTGACCAAACATTATTTGTGTGATACATAAGCTACAATTGATTTGTGATAAGTACAACAAAGTGCTTAAATTAATTAGATTAGGTTAAGAACTTTGATCTATGTCGCTTAATTAAGGCCTAGGAAATTATTTAAGACCCCATAAGTATTAGAAATCATCAATTATCTCCCTTCACAATTAAAAATTTACACTTTCATCCTTTGGCCTTGGCCACATTAATTTTGATAATTATCTAAGAGGATCTTGTTGATGTCTTTTGAAGTCTAGGGAAAGGATTAGAAAATGAAGTTTCAACAATTAAGACATCTCAAATATAGCAAGATATATGAGTTGTATTTTTTATATTTGACGATATGTTTGGTGTGATAAATTTGAAAAAAAAAAAATTTAATTAATTAGTTTAACAAAAATTGAGAGATGTTGAGAAAATTTTCAAATTTAAAAATATAAATAAAAACACAAGAATTTTGTGTTATTTACTTATTTTTTGCTACTATTTCATTCAATTTTAAAATATTTTTAATAATTCATGTTGAAATTTGTGAATTATTTATTTTAATTTCCCATCTTATTTTTAAATTACATAAACAAATCTCTACCAAATATATTAATACTTTTGCCATACAACACAGAGAATTATTTTTTTTATTTGGTTAAAATTTTGAATTATCAAAAAGTTTATTCTCTTTATGAGTTTTTAGATTCAAACCTTAGAGTTATCTATCATAATAATGTATTTTACTAATTTTTGGCACATAATAGATATTCAATAGATATCAAATATTATATTATAACTCCGTTTACAAAAAAAAAAAAAAATTATAAATAAAATAAAATGTATCCGTGGATTCAGTATAGCAAGCATAGGGGTGCGGTCCAAACAGAATGGAAAGATGTTTCCACATCAAAACCTATGTCCACTACTGCCCATTACATAGTATGTCTTCATTCCCTTTTTTTAAAAAATAAATAAAAAAATTCAAAAGTGGGAATCTATTTTTTCTTTTTTTTTTTCAACTAATATCACCTTTTACCTTATTTTTTTATATAATAAATGTTTTAAATCTAAAAAAGAAATGAGAAAATGATGTATATGGATGAATAATAGAGGGATTAGGGTCACGTGTTTTGGAAGGCATGCCGGTCATAAAGGGACAGATGGTCCATGATTTGTGGGGGCCCACTCAGACCCCAAAAATCCTATGACCAAAATCTCCCCATTATCTTTCTCTTGTCATCCTCTGTAAATGCTACCTAACCTTTTTTTATTACTGGACCCACTTCTATTTATTAAATCATTCAATTTTTCTTTTTCTAAAATTGGACAATTTTTGGGATTGTTGATTACAAGGTAAATAATCTCATAATCAACCCAAATTCATTAATTTCTTTTTACAAAATTCATTATTTACCCTCAAATCCTCTTTAAAATTTAATTATTATTTTTTTTTCTTTTAATTGCAACAAAGTTGAGTAAATGATTCAATGGCCCCAAGGCACAGAGGTTATCATTGACTGACTCAAAAACAGTTCTTCATCACCACCACTACCAAACAGCAAACACAACCATGCCCATCACATGCATTAATTAAATTTTCATTAAAAATAGTTAAATAATAATTCAAAGCGCCTTTCCATTTTTTGACCATGCTATAAAAATAAAATCATCATCATTACCCACAAATAATGTGTCAGTTGAATCAATCAATTGCACCATTAAATTATCACACAATTCCACTCTGCCAAACTCGCTCTCCAATTAATCACTTATCTTAACCGACAATCCAAATTGTTCATTTACTTTAATCCTGATTAATTATTGATAATTAATTATGATTATATTAAAAAAAAAAATTGGTGGTGATGTATGCAAAGATGTAAGTGAATCTGAAATCTCTCAAACTCCCTATTTATTGACATTGACTAAAGAAAGACAGATTAACGTGCGTGGGACGCGCTTCGTTGAACCACCAAACGCCCTGCCCTCGCGAGTCGCAACAAGACTTGCACGCTAACGTGCGCCAGCCATCAGCTGAAGTTGAAGGTATCATCCCGATATTTCAACACAACAAAAGAAAAAGCAGGCTTTATGGTGTCTGTCTGTTTTAATAAAAGCAACAAAAAAATTGATAACGTCGACGTCTAAAGTACGCTATGAATGCGCAACATACGGTTCTTTCAGAGTAGACTTTTTCCCACTTTTGGAGCCACTATTCAACCACCGATTCTCGTGTCTTCTTTATTTATTAAAATATTCAGATTCTGTCACTTTATCTTAAGCGTAAGTAACTAGGATTAATCATGTTGATGAGTTAATTAATTAATTACTTGAGAAAATTTAGGGAAAGATAAATTAATTTATAAATTTAATGAAGATGAGCGTTTCATTGTGCTGTAGCGAAGACTGTGAGTGGGGTCACTGCCACTACTGTAGAATAACAGCGATATTTGCGCGCGTCCGACGTGTCAGCTTTTGCCTCACACCTGTCGCTTTCAGATACACTCGTTGACTCCACGTTTCTTTATCACGCGTGACTTTCACGCCTTTTATTGTTTTTTATTAAATAGTTAGTTCCGCTCGCTCTCTACTCTACTCTGCTCTACTCTTATCTATTTGCACGACCCCCAAGTGGGTCCCACGTAAAAACCTCCTCCACCTCACCTATCCTTTTTTTAAGCCTTTTGTAACTCCCCACAAAAACCTCGCTAACGTGCACCGACTCCTTGCTAAGATACGCCGCATTATTCCTTTTTTCAATGACAACATTAACTTAACTCCACTCCTAAGTTTAAACAACCGAATACCAAAAAACCGACAACATCTTCACTTCACTTCAATTTAGTAAAAATATGAATTAATAAATAATAAATAAAATTACCCAAAATTGGATGTTCTGCCTGATACAGCAAACTTGAGCAAATGCAGGCATTTTCGAAACGAATTCATAAGAATTGAAAACGAGAGAAACGTGATTTTGTTTCTCGAAACGTTTTGAGATCTTTTTTTTTTTTTTTTTTTTTTTTTTATGTATATTGATGATTTTTCTACGACATGTTGACATGAACGCTACCAGTCTTAACGGATTTACAAACGGGGCAAGTATGAAGACCCGACCCGCAAACGGTACACAAACACAAATGCCTGCAAGGCAATAGCAAAACACAGGCCTCCTCCTTCCGACAATTCCTACACATCCCGCTAGTACTTTCTCCGCCGTCCGACCGCCGCCTCTCCTTCTCGTCTCCGTCGCAGCTGCTGCCGCAACACGACTGAGCGTCGTCGATAACTTCGTCGTCTTGGAAACCTCCTCCCGGTGTCCTAACGTCCTTGGCCTGCGTGGCGGCGAGGACTTGTTCCAAGTTTGAACGTAAAGCATTGGCCGCGGCTTCGTTGCTTTGCGCCAAATCTCGCCAAATTTGATTCTCCATACATAATGATTTCACTCTTTCTTCTAAGGCCCAATTCAATTTCCCCATCTTTTCAATTTCTTCTTCTTTTGCTCTCAGTTTCTTCATTACACTCTCCTCAATCGCGTCCAATATTCTTCTCGCTTGTCTCTTCCTCCTTTCTTCAATTTCCATCTTCACTTTCTCCATCTAAAATAGATTTTAAAAACTCAGAATTAGCATTATATCATAAATTAAATCAAATAATAATCATATGAAAAGTTTTGAAAGAGACTTACATGTTGAGAAATGATGCGGTCGAGATCAAATTGTTGTTCTTGGATCTGAGGGGAGATATCGTGGCCGAGAAAGGAGAAGGGAGCAGTGGTGCAAGTTTTGTGAGTTTGATTTTGGAACGACGGGAAAGAGAGGAGAGGATTAAAGAAGTCTCTTGAGCGTTTTCTTGATTGAAGAAGGAGATTACTGTTGTTATTGTACGTTAAAGAACTGTCTGATTTGATAACTGATTTTTGAGGGATTGAGTTGGAGATCACAGAGCCGTAGCCGGTAGCGGGGAGTTGAAGAGTCTCAGTCGTCGTCGTTGTTCCTGATAATGGTAGCCCGTATCCCATCTGGGTATTGTAAAAACTTGCGTTTGCTTCAATGGGGTTCATCATTTCCCTGCAAATTCATCGCCAAAAACGCCCATTCAGATCAAGAAATGATCGGTAGAAAACATGTCTATATACTCGTAAAGACAAAAGAAATAATTAAAATTATAATACAAACCTGTTTCCTAAAAGTTGAGGAGGGAAAAGATTATGATGCCGCGCTTCAACAGCCATGAAAAAGAAAGGTGAAATTTAATTCGGAGTGTTTTGGAAGGATTGGTTTTGATTTATAGAGAGAAACTGCTTCTTCTATGCGTTTCTTGTTTTGCTTGTTTGTTGCTTATGAATGAGAGTTTGGTTTTGGTTTTGAAGGAGAGAAATTAAAGAGAGGAGAAGAGGAGGACAAAATGGCATGCAATAGAGGTGGCAACGGTGGATGGTGAGGTTTATTTAGGGTTTGGTTTAGAGAGAGAAAAATGAAAACAAACAAACAAACAAATCTTTATGAGAGAAATAAAAAAAGTCAATATTATTATCATAAAAAGATAAAGATGCGAGGTTTATTTGGGTATTCATTACCATAATCATCCCTTTCTTCTTATTTAGATTCCTATCCCAATTTACATTAAATTCTAGAAACCCTTAATTATACATGGCTAATTTATTTATTTATTCATTTACTAAATATGAGATAATTGTCATATACTCCAATAAAGTAAGGGTATTTTTGGAATTATGCAAGCAAGCTTTTATTTTATACTAGTAATTAGATTGTTTTATAACTGACAAGCATGGCATCTGCCACGCAAGCAGAAGTGTCTGTTGGTTTCTTTTTTATTTTTTAATCTTTTTATTTTTATGGTCCTGAACAACGTGATGGCGTGGGGTCCACTGGAACACGTGTGGGACAGGGTAAAAGAAGCATGAGGGCAAGACAAAGGGGGTGATCCCTGTGGCCACGAGTGATCTGCCAGCATGGCGAGTATGGGACCCGCACATAGATTTGTCAATAACAAATAATTAATTAAATAAAAGTGAGTAAGCGGCGGTTGGTTGAGGAGGGTACGGTGTACCAGGCCTGGTCCTTTAGCAGTTTCTAACTTTTATTTTTTTTATTTAAAAAAATAATAATAAAAATTGAAAAAAGAAATTTGGGAGACATGTTATTTCACTTAAATCACTGCTGCTTCTCGCATGGGAAACGCTTGCCCATTTTTGGTTTGGCACTTTCTCTGCCACGCGGCATGACATTCCTAACATTGTTTAACCTTATTATAAAATTAAAAAACACGTAATTTAATTATTATGAAAACGATTTGCAATCTAATTACAACATTTAACTTAATCATGCTTACTTAATTACCTAATTAGATGAAGATCATCATCATGGTTTAAATCGATTCGGATCCAACGGTTAAGAGGTTAAGCATTATTGCTCCCAACGTTCATCCAAAACCAAAATTTGTTATTATATAAAAAATCATAATATTTAGTAAGTTTGTTATTGCTTGATAAACTAATTTAATTTTGCATTGAAAAATTATAATTTCTCCAGCTAAATATTATTGAGGGTTATTAATTTATAAGTCAAAAACTAGTTTTAAATTCTAAATCTAGAAGCATTCAAAAGTGGATTCAAGTGATTTTCTTGACCTTAGGAGCCGTGTTTAATTGATTGACTTCTTGTTATTCAAATTCCAATTAAAATGTTTGACTCTTCTCTATGGTTTATAATTCATCATATCTCACTAATCTAACTAATAATCCTAACTAATTGCACATTTAAAAATTCTTAATCCAGTCGCTAACTATATACGACATTTTTAACCTTATATTTTAATTTTTATTCATATTGATGGATTGCTTCAAATTTTATAAATGGGTTCTCTCTTAAATTAATAGGATTTTCATAATCCTAACCTCATCTAAACATTACCTTATGAGACAGTTCATATTGATATACCGATGAGCCATGGTTATCAAAAAATATTAAATATTTCGAGATTTTTGATGCATTTACATACATATTTAACATTCTTTATACAGTCATTTAATAGTCAAGGTTTTATTTATTTTAAGAATATATAAAACTTTCTAATAATTATGGTACACATAAAATTTAATCAATCTCCCAAGTGAAATAAATCAATTTTTTTTTTTTTTATATACATATACATAAAATAATTTTCTATTAAATAAAATTGAAAAAGAAAATAATTGACACCTTATCACTCTCTTTAAGTGTTATCTATCTGCACTCTCTTGGATCCTACCACCAAAACAATTATTTTAACAAACAAAAACATAAATTGTAGAAGATATATATATATATATAATTCATTAAATCTTTTATAAAATTGATAATTCTTTTGCCTCCTCTCCAACTTGCCTAGGAGCCCACTTGCTTTTTCCCCATAAATAATTTTATTCATAATTTTGGGAACAAGACACGAGGCAGGAGCACCCTCTTTCATGGAAACGTGCATTTAATCCTCCATTCACAAGAGACAAATCCATCACCATTTTATTTATTTACTGATATTTTCGATGCCATTTTCTCTTAATAAAATCACCCCTTAAAATAATGAAAAGTTTGAGAATCAATTCATGTAATTATTTTTACAATATTTTTAATCTTTTAGATGGGGTGGTTTTCCCAATATTTTAGGTGAATATTGGACAAATTAGCTTCATTTAAGGAGACAAAATGACAAACACATCAATTATTTGATTAGTTTAATTACAAATGCTTTGCTTATAATTAAATTAATTAATTGTTATAACATATTTCCATTAATTAACGGACCATTTGAGGAGGCATAGATATTAATAATTTAATAAATAAAACTTTATATTAACATTAACGTATAAAACTTGCAAAGTATCAACATTATTATAATATCAAAAGTCTTTTAATTCTCTTAACCCACATGGGCAAGATTATCAAATAAATAACCCAAAAAACTAATAAATAAATTAAATGAAAAAACCTAAGATTGTAGCAGCTGCAGTAGCCGTACAGACACAAAGTGGCAAGGCAATAAAACGCCACCGCATTGTTCGCATTCTGTCCCTGTCGATCCTCCCACTTTTTTTATATAAAATATCGATCCATTTGTATACAGATCGATTCGTTGACCCTTTTTCTTTAAATTAATTATTATTTCAGTCTTAGATTACAGAGTTTAAATCTTCCCTTGAGGTGTTTACTGATACTTGGGGCATGTGAAGGTTAAGATTTGTATTAATTATAAGAAAGAAAAGATTAGATCCAGCTCATACCTGATTATAAGTGGTTCAGATAAGCTAAAAACAATAACATGCATGAAACTTAGAGAAGAAATAAAGAGTCACAGGAAGAGACGAGACAAATGAAAAGTAGGGAAAAGGATTCTCATGCAGTTCTTTCTTTCTTTCTTTGTCAATCAATCTCATCAACCATATCCAATACATTATATACTTTGGTTTAACCACCACCGAAATCTAAAAAAAAGAACACTAGAAAGCAAAGTTGATGTGGGAAAAAAGATACTGAAATGTAGGGCTGTGATTGATCTAAATGGATTAAAAAGAGAAGAAGAAAAGGAATAAGTTAGATATAAAAGGGGTTCATGTGTGTTTGTTCTTCCCCTCTTTTTAGGGCAATTGTTTTTGTTTCTTGACTTAAGGTGGAGCTTTTTCTTTGCTTTCATTCAACCTAAAGGTTAAGTTTTTGTTGTTGTATTGATATCCACCTCTTTTCCATTTCCACTCTCACATTGTGAGAATCTCAATCTCAATCTCTCTTTCTTTTTCTTTTTGGGAATCTCATGCACAAACCTATCATACCCATCTTTGAATTTGTCAACCCTCTCGTTATATACACAAAAATATCACTTAAATCCCTTTACATTTAAGTTAACACCAAAGACACCCTTATAATAACAATAACATATCCTTTATTAAGTTTGACGGTTTATTATCATGGACCCCTAATAGGATTTCTCATAAATTTCCCCATAAAACCTACAATTAATAATGGGTTTATAAAACTTGATGAAATTATTGTTTAAAGGGTCTAACAATAGAAAACAATGATGAAGGATGTGATTAAAAAAAAAAAAAAAAAAAGAAAAAAAAAATGAGGAAAGTTGAGTTGATTAGATGATAAAGAAAGAAATGTAAATCATGGAGAAGGTACAAAGAAGTGTGTAGTTGATAATGAATAAGGTTCCTCACGAGAAAGCAACAACAACAATGAAAGGAACACTTTTGTGATCTTCATGATATAATTAATTAAATTAATATCTTATAATAAAGTTAGTATATAAAAATGATATTTTTACTGCAAGGTTTGCTGCTGGGGGATGGGGTCAATTGAGCTATCATTATATCTTGTATCGGAAACATACCTTACTTGTATTCAGGATACTTAAAAAGAGGTTACCTTTTCTTTTTTTTATGAATATGTCTCTGAATTTGACCGTTAGTTTTATTTATACTTTGATTAGTATATTGATCATGGATTTGTGGGGCTCCATTATATATATAAAAACATGATTCTTCTATCTATCGTTTTCTTTTCTCCATGACCATATCTAATCTTTTCTTTAATCATCATTCTTCAGCCATTGCTTTGCTTTGCCTTACAAACTCAATTATATATGTCACTTCTTTTTCGGGTAACGAGGGAATCCTTTCTCCTTCTCCTTCACCTTCACCTTCTCTTATCACTTAATTACATGTTTAATATTCAATTACCATTACCCATATACAAGTATCCGAGGCGTTTCATGAGTTTAAGTTAGATGAAAAAGGAGGTCAACCCTCGTGTTTATAAAAATTGAAATTGCTGGAGATGGAATCCAAGAAATCCAAAATGGATAACTCAGATTAGAGGTAGAGGGTTGACCGTCGGTTGGGTTTGGGTTTGGGGTTGATTTCACGATCAACATGGTTGGAAATAAGGGCAAAAAATGACACATTTTCCAAAGCAAAAGGGGTATTTGTCAGGGCTTCAATGTTTCCATGTGCAAACTCTCCACTTGTCCCACTTTTTGAATTGGATTTCTCATCAGTTTTAGGTCCTGAAATTTCAAAGGATAAAGTTGTTCGGTTGCTTTCACATTTCTTTTATTATTGCCCACTCTGTGATTCTATTCAATTTCGTGTCAAATTTCTGAGCAACTACCCTGCCCAAGAATCTTTTCCAATTTATTTGCCGACATCATTATTTAATACGCCTTACCTCCCTCCCTCTTATTCTTCTTACATTTCAAATCTAATCCCTCTTGTAAAAGCCTGGGCCCTCCCCATACCCGAAGGTACGAGACTAATCTCGATCAAAGATTCAGTAAATACCTCAACCACAAAGTGTTTTCAGCACAGTTTGAACCTCTGACATTGTAGGTAAAATTCGCTGCACTTGAATAAAACCTTAATTTGATGTGTCTCTCTAAACATAGTTAAAAAAAAAAAAAATAGGATTGTATCATATTCATATCCTTTTATTTACAAAATCATTATTATTGTATTTATATTTTGATTTTTAAATCTATCACCAAATCAATTAAATAGTCAATTATCGTACTTATGGGATTAAATCTTTTCATATCTAATATTAGTTTATATTGAACTATTTAACAATCAAGGCCTTAATTTGTGGTCCTCTTAATTTGAAGGTGGAATATTTGAATTGTATAATTAATATATCTCAATCTCAATGTCATGCTTTGTGAAACCATTATTTATTCTCTTGTGTTCAAACCTTAATAGGAATCAATCTTTGAATTGTCATAAAAATCCCCACTTCTAACAATTTTCAAACATGATAATTGCTTGCCCATACTCTAGAAGACTTTTGCATATTGTATATATTTTGTTCTATAATAATTCTCAGTTTAATATTCTTGGATATTTAATAATTTACAAAATAATCAGAAAATGGTTTAACATTTTCCCAATTTTGGTGCCCAAAAGAAGTAACTCCAAGGCCATATATTTATGGCTCATAGCCTTCTTGGCTTTTCTTTGTAAATTTGTTGGGCTACTATCATTCCCCTAGAGTCCTTATTTCTAAGAATTTTATTTATTTTTAAAACTATCATGTATGAAAACTTCAAATTTCCAACACATATCATGGTAAATTTCATTGATTTTCTCAATATTTGCTCTAATTAAATTTGTTTAAGAAAATTAATAATAACTTCCCATTCCTTGTTAAAGATGTTTAAAATAAATTTTATAAAACCTCATGGTAAGTCTTTGACAATTTCAGGAAATTTTTAGGACTATTTTATTATTTCAAGGATGCTTTATATAATTGTAAAAATATTAACATTATGTAAAAGTTTTATATAGATAAATAAATTGAAATTATCAAATAATAAAATTAAATTCACAAAAGCCTGCAAACAAAGTTGGGCCTGCATGGCCCAATTCAGAGATATCTTTGTTTTGGAACAAAGGAAATCAGCCACAGCTAATAAATTTCATTAAACATGTAAATGTTTTTTTCAATAGCATTATCTCAGTCCATCTGTTGGGTTAATCAAAACAAATCCGATGTTCATTAAACACTTTGCAGCTCAAGAAAACAGCTTCAACCTATTGACAACCTATTGAAAACTAGTACACCTATACAGTATGATCAAGTAACATACCGTCTACTTTTTCTTAGGAGTGGTACTGGTATCTCATACAGGTACTCCAGATGAAAAAGTAAAATGTACACTAGGTTGCTTAGAGTAAACCATCCTCAAGAGGAGAGCCTTTGCACCGCAAATGATTATATTCATAATTTCTCTATCACAGTTTGCCGCGCAAATGATCACTACCTAAAAATCTCTCTTATCACATAAAAGGCATTGCAGGAAAAGTAGAAAAATGTGTAAGTTACCTACAGCATACATCTGTAACTGCTGTAGTTCCTCCTTTAAGACTTTGTTTCCGAGAAACTTGGATGTTCCAAATATAACTGCACATTCAAAGGGTCACTGTTCATTGACTTGATAGGAGTTATTAGTGGAGGTTGCTGCCATTGCTGTGTATTTGTAGGGATCCAAAATTCTGCATCCTTGCTTGTATCAACCTGAGGAAGGGAACGGAAGTATGCTGTTATCTCCCACCGGCAACCTGTTGAAAATGAAAATCTGAATATCCAGAACCAGTCTCTAACACAGCAGAACGTGCGCAAACAGACACACTCACACACAAACAAATAGAAGGAACAAATCCATACATAAAAAAGATGCAACAAACACTAAAATCATTTGATGAAGTAGATTCGGAACTGATAAGTAATTAGGCTGCAAACTGCACATTAAGACCAAGTAACTATGGAAGCATTCTACGAACACAAAAAAGGAAGGATCTCTATAAATTAAATGCACACCAGCTGAAGTAAATAAACAGAATATCAAGCACGGGATCATGTGCAAACCCACCACATCTAGACCCTACCATTTGGAAGAACCTTTGAGAGGGATTGTGACACCAAAAGTTTGGTCAAGAAAGACCTAAGTGAGAACTCCAGTTCGCCTTCTTCCACCTTTGAGCCATAAGATTGGTTAAACATGAGCTTGAAAATATATCTCTCCACCGGGATGTTGTCAGCATTGAAGAAAATAACTGCTACTCTCTCCACCTGTCCCTACTTTTGAAGAAATAGGAAAACCTCAAATTATTTTGCGAACACAAATTGGTACAACTATATGACGAGCATCCATTAGTATAAGAAGTTGAAATCTCAAATATCAGTATGTCTCTTAACTGATTTATATCTCAATAAGAAACAATAAGCAGTCTATTTTCTTCACGGAAATAGAAATGTCCTCCCACCATGGTGCTAGCAATGCTTTGCATATATATATAAATTAGATAGGAATGGCAAAGGAATTACAACAGATATGTTGCACTGTTTATATACCAAAATTGTAAGATCTCAGTATCATTTTCAAGCAGTCTTTACAGAAATATATTAAAACCTTGACTTAGAATGTAGAGCCTGCAAAATTTCTAAATTTTTAAAATGACCGACAATTTTGTGGAATATGGATGTCTTAAAATAGATGCCCGAAATATCATTCACTTTCATATGCTCCAAATCTACTCCACTTACACACATGAAATTGTAATGGAAAAAATGGTGCTACATTCACAAGAAATAGAATTGAAGCTGATTCTACAGATCATCAGCATGAACCATTAGGACCTTGAGAGAATAAGGTTTATTTTTACCTTCTTACAACAAGTAAATGGCAACCAAATGAAATTGAGGCGTTTTTGCCTTCTTACAACAAGTAAACGGTAACTAAATGAATTTGAGGCATTCTACACAATATGAATGGTTAAAATGTTCACTTATACAAAAAGCAAGTGGCCCTGGAAACTGGCAGTAAACTAAATGCAGGTTACAAGGTAATTGACCATCCATTCAACTGGTTCAAAAATTTGACTAACCTAAGTTTTGTAAGCACCAGAAAAAAACAGGAAACATCTTACAGTCAAAACCTTACCAATACTCTAAAGAAAGGCTCGTAATTGCATGAAAAAGTTCTCCTTTTTTGAGTTAAAATGGCAACTTTGTTTAGCGCTAATCTCAGAATTCTAATCTAGTTGGAAATGGTAGCAGCAGAGCTCTTTTGATTTCATTTTTCTCTTCCAACAGATCATAAAGATGCAAGAAGTTTCTATTATGAGAGTGAAACAAAGAACTACACAAAACTAAACACCAATCCATGGTCTAAAAAATACAGGACAGACAAAACAATCATGAATACATCAAGGTCTGAACTATTAGATGAAAATTCCCTAAACATTACCCAAAATTCCTCGTCTTATTCAATGGTCTACAGAAATCTAGCATCAATACCTCCGCATATCATAGAAACATCCTCACCAATGCATCTCCAATGACATGCCTTAAATTACACATAGAGAGTATGCATAAGGAAATCAACAATAACAGAACCCAAAAGACAACATTAGGAAGATCAAATTAACTTTCTACTATATGATTATTTATGGCTCAACGTTCCATTTCACATTGCAAGTACTAAATTCCATGTAACGAATGTATTATTCCGAGAACTCCCCGATTCTAACAATGCAACAACTCCCTTTATTTAAACACGAATTACGCAAAAATGTTCTAAAAAATCATGTTAAGATTACTACTCTTGCTGCTGAAAGTCTTAAAAAAACCAACAGTGTTGCATTAAAATTATAAGAACATTGAAACTAAAGAAGATGAAAACACAAACCTTTTGGATAAAAGGAAGAAGACCATTAACAGCAGAATGAATATACTCTCTCAGTTCCGGGTGGCGAGCCCTCTGAACCACCACATTCATATACCTTCTTCTTTCAAAAGCACCTTCCACCCATCATCAAATACTTAATTTTGAAAAATATTAAAAAATACCCATCTTGCAAAGAAAGCAAATAGTGATAGTAAATCAAGAAAAGTTTGAATTTTGTACCAGCAGGATAAACTTCCTTGAGGAAAACAATTGAAGTGACTGCCACCTCCAAGAATTCCACCAAAATTCTTGCAGTTTCACCTGTGATATTACTTTAACGATCAGAAAGAGAGAGAAAAGAAACAAATCTGAAGAGTAAAAGTATAAAAGAAGGGTCTTTAGAACATCACCTTGAGGAGATTGAACCTCACTGCGCTCCATTTCTGGTTCTCTAAAGAAATTTCGAGAAAGATCGAGGGCTTGTCATTGGTTTCTAGTTTGTCAAACTTTTGGGTTTTCGTTAAATTTTGACAAGTTGGCAGGAGTTTGGTGTAATTCATTCTTGCAAAACCATTTTCCCAAGTACACCCATTATAAAATTTTGAAAAACATTTTTTTCTTTTCAACAATATTTTTGAGTGTGTTTGGTTTATTATTTTGGATATGATTTTTGAAATAATATTGGATGGTTGAGTGGGTTATGATTATGAGAATAAGATTTGAAAATATGTATTTGTTAGAGTATTTTTACCTTGATATTTGTGTTGAATATTTGATTGATATATTTTTTTATAAATGATTTATTAATATAATATTTTGATGGATTTTGTTAAAATAATGCATTATTATATATATAACTTATCAATTTGGGACAAATCTGTGGTATGGGGTGGTTCACGGTGGTGGGTGGGTTTCGCAAAAAAACTGTCGTCGAACAGATTTGGTGGTGTGGGGTGGTTCACGGTGGTGGGTGGTTCACGGTGAATGTGCGACAGATCTGGTGGTGTGGGGTGGTTCACGGTGATGGGTGGTTGACGGTGTGAAGAAAACTGAGAAAATAAAGTTGGATGCGTTATGTTTGGTATTTGCAGGTGGAGAAGAAGTTGGATGGAAGAAGAAGAAGTTTGTAAACGTGGTGAAGCACTGATGCAGTGAAGAAGATGAGAAAATGAAATAAAAATGAGAAAGAGAAAAAAAAGCTGCAAAGAAGAAGTTGGATGGACGCAAAGAAGTTGGTAAACGTAGTGAGTGCAGTGAAGAAGATGAGAAAATGAATAAAAATGAGAGAGAAAAAAAAGCTGCAAAAAGCCTTAACGATCAAAAACATGTCAGGATCAGTTTTTCAGAATTCAATTTTGTGAATAATAAGCCAACACTATTCAATAATCGGATCCAGAATATGAAAATAAATATTAAGCCAAACGCCCCTTTTTTTGTTTGCCTGATAATTTTTACTCATTGAGTATTAATATATTATTTCATGTTAGAATGATGAAAATATATTGAAATCAAGCTTTGAAAGTGGATTTATTTAAAAATTAGGTGTTAAAATTAGTTATTTGTCTATAGTGGACATATTTTTCTATTCACATATATTAAATAAGTTCCCCTTGTGAGAGGGTTTAATCCGAACACACCCAATACTTTTTAGGGGGCGTTTGGTTGGGGATAATACTAGATTACTGGAGTTATGTCATCTTATATTACTTTGATTACCATATTTGGTTGTCAAGTAATATAAGATTTCGATAATCTTCTAATACCAATAGTGGTTACTGTTGGGAATATTGGAAGTAATTTGATTACCTCAAATTTCTTAGGTATTGTAAGATTACCAAGGTAATCTTATTTTTGTTATAATTCTATCCCTTATTAATAAAAAATTTGGACAATAATGCCCTTGTTTTAAAATCAATTTACATTAATCTACCATTATAATTTTACCCTTGTTTAATTAAGTTTTTTTTTTTACAATAATGCCTTTATATTTAAAACAAATTACAGACCACCACCGCTAACAGTTGGCCAACCAGCGTGGACCATTGGCAGAGTCGCTAAAAATGATCGAGAGTCGCTAATAGGCTCCGGGAGGCTCCGATATGGCCGTTTCTAGCCATATTTATGGTAAAAAAACGGTCGTATCGGAGCCTCCCAGTCACGGTGGGCTACTCACAGCAACTTCAGGTGACTTTCGGCAACTTCCGGCGATGGTTTGCGGTGGCGGCAGGGTAGTGGGGGTGATTTTGTTATAAATTAAAGTTTTATATAAGCGGGGGTATTTTAGCTAAATTTGAAATATTGGGGGTTAAAAAAACTATTCAAAAATTAATAATAAAAATAATATTATATTAATATTTAAAAAGAGAGCAATTTAGTAACTTAAATAATATACCCATCAATTTATTCCTCCTAACCAAACATATTAATATAACATACCCACCTATTTATTCCAACTAACCAAACACATTTTCCAAACGATTCCTAGTAATTTTCAAGGTAATATAAGATTCTAGTAATCCGACATTCCTTGAACCAAACGCACCATTAGAGTGCGTTTGGTTGATGAAATGTTGTATTACTGAGAATGTTATATTAATAAGAAGATTGATTATCTTGAAGATTACTGGAAATGTTTAGTGAATATGTTTAGTTAGGTTGGAATAAATTGGTGGTATATATTGAATTGCCCTTTTATTTTAATATTATTTATTATTATCATTTTAGATTATTTTTAACCTCATACATTTGTTAATTTAGCTAAAAACCTTCACAATAAAAGTTTAAAAATTAATTAAAGCACCCTAGTCACCCGAGAGGACAGTTGACCGCCAACCACCAACGCCAGACGGCAGTTGCCGAAATGACGCACGATCGGCCATGCACCGATCTGGCTGAAAACGCTAGATCTATGGCCAGAACAATGGCCAGAGATTTAATGGTTGTTAATAGCCAAAATCTGGCTGAAAACGACCAAATCGGCACATGATCGACCATATCTGACCGGTTGTACACCATTCCAGCCAAGTCAGTCAGCGGTGGTTGCTAGCAGGTGGTGGTGGTCTTGGGTGGCCTGTAATTTGTTTTAAATACAAGGACATCACTGTCCAAAAACTTCATTAATTAGAGATAAAATTGTAATGACAGGTTCATGTAAATTAATTTCATTAATTAGAGACAAAATTGTAATGACAGGTTCATGTAAATTAGAATAAAAATAAGGGCATTATTGTCCTAAAATTTTATTAATAAGGGATAAAATTGTAACAAAAATTAGATTATCAAGTAATCTCAAAATACCTAAGAAAATGATGGTAATCAGATTACCACTTATATAACCAACAGTGATTACTATTGAGTTTAGAAGATTACCAAAATTTTGTATTATTTAATAACCAAATATAGTAATGCAAGGAATATAAAATGACATTATTTCAATAATCTCATATAACCCACAACCAAACACACCCTTAAAACCATTAAGAACCCCTTATAATAACGACTAAAAAACAATTTAAAGTTTAAATCATTAAAAATGCCCTTTTCAATGGAGGTTTCAATGGATTGTAGAAAGGTATTGGATGATTTCCAAAAAGTTTGGGTGCACATATATTAAACAATCTCAAAAGGGGTGTATGAAATATCCTTCAAATAATTCAAACTAATTTTCCAAAGAACCTTTCATAATTTTTCCTTTTTTACCAAGTATAAGATTTTAATTCATAATTCACAATTGTTATTATGTTATAATTGAATAATTGTTGTAAATGAGGCTGTGAAAAGTGGGAAAAGGGGGGCGGGGAGATCCCGATTCATTTGTTATCAATCCCCTTTCATTTGTAATCAATCCAAAATTTTGAGGAACAATTCTATCTCTCAACTCCCTCATTTTGGTCCCCTGTTAATTGTTATTTACTTTATTTATTTTACCTTTCCTAAGTTATTACTAAATAACACGACTAAAATTATAACACGTTATCAACACGAAGAGCTTAACAAGTGTACCCTTATTGAAAGATGGACTTCGGAACTGAGACATCAATATCCAGTAATGGTGGAGACATTTGTATAGTAGACACTAGACAGTGCAACAATGCACACTATCCTTCGGGATAGAAAATATTTCTCAGGTTTGACCTTTACTGAGGCTAAAATAAATACTATATCAGGATCTATAAACATAATTGAGGGCCTCGGAAGAGCAACACTATTGTTACCAAGTGGAACTGAATTAAGTATCTATGATGCTTTATATTCTAGCAAATCCAGAAGAAATTTGCTTAGTTTCAAAGATATACGACTTAACGGATACCACATTGAAACTTTAAGTGAAAAGGATGAAGAGTTTCTATGCATCATTGCTAATATTTCATGCTAGAAGCATGTATTGGAGAAACCTCCTGCTTTCTTATCAAGGTTATATTACACATTCCTGAAGAATGTTGAAGTCTACGCAGTTATGAACCAAAAGTTCACTGATCCTGAACTTTTTAAGATTTGGCACGACTGTCTTGGTCATCTAAGATCTACTATGATGCTTAGGATCATAGAAAACTCATATGGGCACCCATTAAAGAACCTAAAGATTCTGCCTCCTAATGAGAGTGATTGTATTGCTTGCTCACAAGGCAAATTGGCACTTAAGCCATCCAGGACTAAAGTTGGTCTAGAATCCCCATAATTTTTACAAAGAATTCAAGGGGACATATGTGGACCTATTAATTCACTAAGTGGACCTTTTCGCTATTTCATGGTATTGATTGACGCATCAGCACAATTGTCACATGTGTGTCTACTATCTACCCGTAATGTTGCCTTTGCTAGATTGCTGGTACAAATTATCAAATTATGAGCAAACTTTCCAGATTACCCAATTAAAGCAATTCGTCTGGACAATGTTGATGAGTTTACCTCAAAGACATTTAATAACTATTGTACAACAATGGGAATTGATATTGAGCACCCAATACCACATGTACATACCCAGAATGGTATGGTAGAGTCATTTATAAAGCATATCCAATTAATTGCAAGAACTTTGCTATTATGTACGCAATTACCGACTTTTGCCTAGACTCATGTTGTTTTACATGTTGTAGAGTTAATTCGTCGAAGACCCACTGCATATCATCAATACTCTCCAATATAGCTTGTATTTGGACATCCGCCTAATATATCCCATTTAAGAACTTTTGGTTATGCTATGCAAGTTCCAATTGCACCCCTTCAACGCCCCAAAATGGGACCCCAACATCATTTAGGAATATATGTTGGCTATGACTCACCATCCATCATCAGATATCTTGAGCTCCTGATGGGTGATCTGTTTACTACACGTTTTGCGGATTGCCATTTTGATGAATAATATTTCTTCCTTTAAGGGGAAAAGTAAAGTCTCCTAAAGTAAGGCCTAAACTTTCTTGAAAATTGAATTCTATGTCTCACACATTT